GATTTGCTGAGTCTGGACGTTTCACACAAATGGAAATTTACAGTATGTGACACGTGTGTTTGGCTTCTCTCACTTAGCGTTTGTTTTCAAGACGCATCCATGCAATGGTACGTCTCAGCCCTTCATGCCTCTCTGTGCACGAATAATGGTCCATCGTGTGGATAGTGCTACATTTTGTGTATCCGTTTGTCAGTGGATGGACTTTCGGATTGCTTCTTTTTTTCTTTTATTCTTTTGCCGCTGCGGACCTTTGTTTCACAAGTGTTTGGTGTATCTTTGGAGAATCTTCATTTCTCTTGGCGTATCTTTAGGAGTAGGACTGCCGGGCTGTATGGTCAAAACTACATGTTTGACCTTTTCGAAACTGCCACACTGCTCTCTAAAGGGGCTACATTATTTTGCATCCCCACCAACCACGTGTAAGGGTTCCAATTTCCCTCCTTCTTTGCCATCATGTGTCCTTGTCGGGCCTTTTGATTCTGGCCATCCTAGGGAGCGTGAAGTGAAATCTCCCTCGGGGTTTTCATTTGCATTTCCTTGATGGCCACTAAGGCTGAGCAGCTTTTCCTGTGCTTCTAGGCTATTTGTGTATCTTCTCTCCAGTGTCCTTTGCCCCCTTTTACTTATGTGTCTTGTTGTTGTTGAGTTGAAAGAGGTTTTTTTGTATATTCTAGACCAGAGTCTCTTATGGGATATATGATTTGCAAGCAATTTCTCCTATTACGAAGGCTGTCTTTGTACTTTCATGATGGCGTCCTTTGAAACACTAAAGCGTTCTGATGAAGTTTCGTCAGCCACATCGTTGTTTATACGTAAGCACATTATTTTGCTAGGACCACAAGGACTCATCTGATTCCATGTTCAAGAGCAGAGAGTCTCGTAGCATGGCTGATACTTATTTTTTGTAACAAGCCCCTAATTGCTTTTCCTCCTGGGGTCTCATATGATGGGAGCACTCTGCATACGTGTAGCAGAGAACTTGGCCAGTATGAAACTAATATATTCTTTGCCTTCCTGACGTGAGTATGATTCAGGCATAGGGAACATTCTGGTCTTTTTTCCTTCTCCCTCCTTCCCTTCCAGAAAACTTGTACTCTGATTATGAAAGCCATTACATTTCAGGATAGAAAATTTGGACACTTCAGACAACTATAAGAAGAAACTGGGTCACTTGCAGTCTCGTTCTTAGAAGATGACAATAGGCAACTTTCCTTGAGCATCTGATACCCGTCAGATCACATTTGAAGTGCTTTCTGTGTATTATCTTAGTTAATCTTTCTAGCAACTAAGAGGTACTTTTATTATCTCGATTTTCAGAAGAGAAACATCCAGGACAGAGAGGTTAAACATTTAGCCTAAAGTCACCTGGATTTTTTTTTTTTAAACTTTTTATTCTGGAAATAATTTCAGACTTACAAAAAAAGTTGTAGAACTAGTACTTAGAATTCCCCTTTTACCAAAACTTCACTCAGATTCCTCCAATGTTAGCCTTTTTCTACCTGTGCTTTATCAGTCTCTCTCACCTTCGAAGAGTCAGCTGCCGACATGATCCTTATTTGCCTTTTTTTTTAAGTTTATTTATTTTTGAGAGAGAGAGCAGGGGAGGAGGGGCAGAAAGAGAGAGAGAGAGAGAGAGACAGAGAGAGAGAGACCCCCCAGGCAGGTTCTGCACTGCAGTGTGGAGCCCAGTGTGGGGCTTGAACCCACGAACCCTGAGATCGTGACCTGAGCCGAAGTTAGACGCTTAACCAACTCAGCCACCCAGGCGCCCCCAATCTTTTTTTGCTTTTAAGTGTTTAATTTTTTTTTCCTAAAAAACAAGGACATTCATCAGAATCAGAAATTAACATTGCTACAGTACAATTCTCTGTCCTGCAGGGGTTATTGAAATGTCATCAGTTGTCCCAGGACTTAGCTTCTACTTATTTCACGAAAAAAAAAAAAAAGAAAAAAAAAAAAAAAAAAAAGAATCCCCCTTCTCCCCCAACCCCCACCATCAGAATCCAACCCAGGAACACACACTGCATTCTGCTGTCACACCTCTCGTCTCCTTAAATCTGGAACAGCTCCTCGGCTTTCCTGGACTTCCATGGCCTTGACGCTTGTGAGCAATACAGGCGATTATCTTGTAGAACGTTCCTTAGTTTGGGTCTGACACTTAGTTACGGGGCAGGCTCTGTGTCTGTGTCGTTGCCGCTGTCCTCAGTGCGCGTTGTAAGGAGGCGTGTGCTGTTGGCCTGTCCTGCTCTCAGAGATGCTAACGCGGCAAAGTTTCCCTTCCCCTTGCTGATTCATCGTATTGCGGCAGCCCCCTGAGTGACAGGGCCAGGGTTTTCACCCAGGGGACGTCTTGTCAGAACCTATACTCTTAGTCATTTTACTAAGTTATTTTCTACAGGCCACTAAGAAGTTTTTGATGTGTGCTCTTCCAGTATCTTTTTTCTTTTTTAATATTTTATTTCTGAGGGATCTCTGCATCCACTATGGGGCTCGAACTCACCACCCTGAGATCAAGAGTCGCACGCTTCACTGGCTGAGCCAGCCGGGCACCCCAATATCTTTTCATATGTTTTTAACTGAAAAGGGAATTTTAGCATAGAGTTTCATACCCTCTGTTTTAAACTTGATATTTCATCATCCCTCCTTCCCAAATTTTTGAATAGTCTTAAAGACAGCTTTTTATAATTATGTGTATGTACCCCAATACCTTTTTTTTAAATGTTTTTATTTATTTATTTTTATTAAAAAAAATTTTTTTTTTAACGTTTATTTATTTTTGAGACAGAGAGAGAGCATGAACGGGGGAGGGTCAGAGAGAGGGAGGCACAGAATCTGAAACGGGCTCCAGGCTCCGAGCTGTCAGCACAGAGCCCGACGCGGGGCTCGAACTCACAGACCGCAAGATCATGACCTGAGCCGAAGTCGGCCGCTTAACCTACTGAGCCACCCAGGCGCCCCAATGTTTTTATTTATTTTTGAGACAGCGTGAGCCGGGGAGAGGCAGAGAGAGAGAGAGGGAGACACAGAATCGGAAGCAGGCTACAGACTCTGAGGTGTCAGCACAGAGCCTGACGGGGGGCTCGAACTCACAAACTGTGAGATCATGACCCTAGCTGAAGTCGGACGCTTGACCGACTGAGCCACCCAAGTGCCTCCTAGAATCATTTTTAAACCATCTTACTCTTCCCTCGGCGTTACAAAGGCTTCCGATTGTTTTTGTTGTTCATTTTAGGGAGGGACGGGGCTTCTCTGGTAAATGAAGTGTTTCGAAGGTCCAGACTAATTGGAGAACATCGGTGAGCCTGGTGCTTGATGGCGTTTGGGGAGGGGCAGGGTTACCACAACGAGAACCTGTTCCAAACTTCAAAAATTAAAGGACTTTCGGATGTGGCTTTCCCTGTCCAGTAGCTTCTTTCTCCTTCTTGGGGGCACTGGATTGTGGCTCCTGGAAGGCGACCCCTTGTGGTCTGCTTGGTGTTTATGGAACAGCACAACTGTGCACCCAGTTCATCCGTGACCACTGACATTTGAACCAGATTTCCAGGGGTGAAGGATGTTGCAACCCTTGGCCAGATTCTGAGATGGGCCTTGTGTGTAGAGCGAGGGAAAGTGGGAGGAGGACGGATATGGATGATCCGACCCATTTCTTCAGACTTGTGCTGTAATAACCAAAACCTTCAGATCTGTCATCCTCTCTCCACCGAACTTAGTCTATTTGATCTTGCTTTTCCATCTGGA